TGAGACCATGTGACTAACTCCAGGCCAATGGAGTTTGAGTGGAAGTGATGTGTGCAAGTTTTGGAACATCTTCTGCAGATCTTTATTTGGGACACTCTCCCCACTTGCCTGAAAGTCACCTCTTGGGGCTGGCAGAGTGACTTCACCAGCCTGGGGACTGAGTGAGTGAGAAAAGATCTCCCATTGGTAAGCGGTCTGAGGGTCTTTTTGTTTCAGCAGCTTCCCATGTAACTTAACCAATACATCATGTGTGATAATCAATTCCTTCCTGGGTTCAGCCACTCTGTGTTAGGAATCTTATTCCTACTCTTCTCCTTTATCTGATTTCTCTCCTTGGTTGTTGGTAGGACCCGGGGCTGAATTCTAACTTTTGGGTCTAGTTACAGTGGGCGATGGCTGTGAGAAAAGTTTTAGGAGAATTCCACATCTCACCTGCCATCTTGGTTTCCTCCTCCTGCATCATTGTGCGCTTTCTGCACTGAAGTTCAGGTCACAGCTGAGCCAGCCCCCAGTGTCAGATCCCAAAGCCTGTTCAGCCCTGACCCTGTCTTCCTTCACCTCACAACAGAACTCCCATCAAGCTGGCCCAAGTTAGGATAAGCAGAGATTAGGAACAAATGAACCATGAAAGCACACTTCCAGGAAGGTGGTCATGCATTACCCATGACCATCTCTCTTAGGTACTCAGATGAAACACGTTCTAATTTAATATTTAAACAAGAAGTTTAATATTCATACAGCAGCAAGAATGATTTTCCCAGCCTCAGAGCTGCTGGGAACCCCACTCTCTCCCTGCTCCCTAGGGCCTGGCCAGCCAGGAATATTCATTAAATAATTGGCGGCATGCCTGCCTCAGACCCCTGCCTGTGTGGTACCCCAACAAAGGGATAAGATAAAGGAATGGCTCCTCATCATGTCCCCTAACTCTGGGATAAAATGTCTGTGAAGGCACCAGCTATAAACCAGCCAGAGACATTGGGGCTGGAGGATCCGATTACATGTCCCCAGGGCAAGTTTCCAGCACAGCCACCCTCCCTTACTCTTTCCGAGAAATGTTCTGGTTGCCACTTTAAGCAAATGGGACAGCGGGGCGCTGAGGGTAAGGTTGCCAAAGCACCAGGGCAATTTACACTGGGGAGGGGGCAGGAATCTGGGGCCCAGACTTCTGTATAAATGGATCCTTCTTCCTGCTCTTTCTGGGACAAAACAAGCCCAGAGCTGGCCCTTCCCAGCCCTTTTGGAAGGTCGGGCATGATGGGGAGTTCAGGCCAAACCTCAGGAGTTGGTTCCTACTCATAATACCCCTGTGTGGTGGGTGGTTATGTGCTGTGGAGTCGGTTCTGACTCATAGTGACCCTGTACAGGGTTTCTGAGGCTGTAAATCTTTACAGGAGCAGAAAGCCTCATCTTTCTCCTGTGGAACATCTGGTAGTTTCGAACTGCTGACCTTAAGGTTCGCAGCCTGATTCCTAACCACTATGTTACCAGAGCTCCTTAATATCCCTGTGTAGGGCTTCCCTGTGTAGGGTTTCCAAATAGATCTGTTTTGGAAGAAGTTCAGCCAGAGTGCTCCTTGGAGGCCAAGATGGCCAAACATCGTCTCTCAAATTTCAGACATATTGTCAGGGGGGACCAATCACTGGAGAAGGATATCATGTTTGGTAAGGTGGAGGGTAGAGAAAAAGAGGAAGACCCCCAATGAGGTGGATTGGTCAAGTGGCAGCATTGATAGACTCAAGCGTGTCAAGAGTAATGAGGTTGGCCCAGGATCGGGCAGTGTTTCATTCTGCTGTGCATAAGGTCACTATGGGTCAGTACTGACTTGATGGCACCTAACAACAACAACAACAGGGTTTCCAAGGAGCAACTGGTTGGTTTGGACCATCGACCAAGCGGTCCAGTACTGATTCTATGGCACCACACCAAGGCTTCTCTGGGTATCTATAAAGCGTGAGTGACATACCTAGCCCACAGTGCCAGGGCTCCCCAAACCCCCAACCCAAATACCTGGCAAAAAAGCAGGCTGTGAGGAGTTTTGAAGTGGGAGAGCTTCCTCTTTTTCCAGCGGTCCCAGTATGACAGTCACGCAACAATATTGACTGACAGGGTACTAGGGACAACCTGGAGTGGGGTTGGCCAGGTCTTGGGTGGAGGGGACAAGGAGCCAACTCTTTGACTCCTGGCTTTACCACCAACAGACCACCTGGGATTTGGAAGGTCCTTTCCCAAGAACCTTGGTTTGCAGACTTGTGAAATGGGGGTACAAAGCCGCCGTGGTTTGTGGATCCAATGAGGTGATGTACATATATAATGTGCCCACGGTGGGGTCTGGACACACAGTTGTTTTCTGTGTGTTCATCACCCATCTGAGCTGCAGGGATGTGGAAGTGGGTCCTATTTGTGCCAACCCCCCCGATGCCAAGGGTGCCTGGACTACTCCTTGGCAGAAAGGTGTCAGCTCACTGTCCCAAATTGTGACAGATATCCCTGGGCACTGAGCCAGCAGCAGCATCGGGAGCCAGAAAGCCATCTCTGTGGGGTCATCCAGTGGAACAGCCGTCCAGGGCAGTGTCCCTGGGAGTGTCCACAGTCTGCCTGGGCAAAGAACAGTGAGCAGAGGACCACAAGAGGAATTTGACTTGGCTGCAACCTTCAAGGTTTCTGGGAGACAAGCTAAACAAGAATTGGCATGTGTGGAGGCAACTTGGAAGCTGTGGTGTTCGAAGGGGACCAGTCACGGAGGGCTTCATGGAGGGGCTATCAGACTTATTAGGAAAAGTTTGTTGGTGGAAATGGTTGGGAAGGAGTCAAGGATATGCCGTTTTGTGTGGTTGGTGGGCAATGCTCAGGGGACTGGAGGGGGTGGGCTGGATCATGGCAGGTCTTGAACACTGGACCCAAGAGTTAGGCTTTGTTGCATAGGCAAGTGGGAGTCATGAAAGACTTTAGAGCGAGGGAGTGACATGCGCTTCATCTCTGTATCCTAGTACATAGTTGTAATGTGTTGTCTAGTCAGTTTCAATTCAAAGTGACCCCTGTATACAATTTCCAAGGCTGTAAATCTCAAGAATTGCAGAAAGGCTCCAACCACAGATCTGTGGTTCACAGCCCAGTGCTTATCCTTTAGAGACACTGTTCCCATGCATGGCACATAGTAACCACTATATGATGGCCTGGTGTGGTACTGTGGGTTAATGTGCTGGACTGCAAGGTCAGTTTGAACCGCAAGGATGGCAGTTCAAGCTCACCAGCCAGCCACTCCTTGGAAACCCTATACAGGGTGGCTATGAATCGGAACAGACTCTGATAGCACTTCACAACATGATTGCCAAATGGCTGGTGAGGTAGGATAAGCATGACTGTTAATCACAAAGTTGGTGGTTCAAACCCACCAGCTACTCCTCAGAAACCCTAAACAGGGTCATTGAGTCAGAACCAACTCACTGGCACTTAACAACAGGTCTCCTCACTTATTTATATATTGTTGAGTGCTGTCAAGTTGGTTCTGACTCAGTGACCCTGTAAAGGGATTCTGAGGAGCCCCTGGTGCGTTTGAACGGCTGATCTTGTGATTTTAAGTCCAGATCTTATCCTACAGTGCCTCACTTGTATTACAGTGAAATCTGTGAGAGCCGTAATTGACAGTAGTGAGTTTTCTGTCTTTGACAGCGTGCAGACTTACTAATTTTCTTTCACTCTTATTAGTGGAAAATATTTGAGTTTTCCTTCTCTGATAGACTTATGAAGTAAAAGCTGCTTGTTTGAGCATTTGAAAATGATTAAAATTATATTGCCCTTGGAGGATTAATTGACCTATGACCCATTGCTCTCATCAAAAACCTCACCTGCTCTTGAATATCCCTAGTGTTGAGCTCACCACCTTTCCTAGTGGCTAGAACTGTCCCCGACAGAATCCGGAGGTCTCTGAAGGTTTCCTCCCTTGGTTGCTCTCCTGGCAGCAGGCCCAGTCTGGCTGGTGAATTTCTCCATGCAACTCCTTCAATGCAAACCAGTTGAGACATCCCAGGAAGAGAGCCCCACAGGTGTCCCATCTCCCTCCTTGCGGTCCCTTACATCTATTCTTAGGGTGGGATCCATGATTGCCCTGTTTGGGTTGAGAGAGATTCAGGGGCATTATTGGGGGACTCCAAGCACACTGGCAGGTTACTCAGACTCCTCTCATCCACATTGCAGCTACCTCTCCCTTCCCCAAGTGCCTAGGAAATTGCCAGTTAAGGTCCACCTGATCCAGATAGCAGCAGGGAGACCCCAGTGGGCTGGGCTGGTTTTAGGCAGGTCACCGGCCAACTCAGCAGCTTCCCATCTGGAGAGAGCAGCCAATAAGGGCTGAGTGAGTGGGTGTATTTTATTAACCATAAACCACTAGAAGTTGGTTAGTACTTTTAATGTATCATTTTTTCCCGTTTATCACAGGGCCAGGGAGAACACTTTCTTCAAAATGCTTCTTGTGAGCCAGATCTTCCAGCTGGCACAAACTACCCTGGCAACATCTGGAGGGGAAAACAAGGATGTGGTGGGTGGGCAATCTCTCTCAAGGAGCTCTCTAGATCTGCTCAGCTGGCCGGCCTCTGCTCGGCCCCTCTGAAAAAGAATCAAAACCAGGAAAGACCCAAACACCCCCAACTCCCAACACTGTGTGGGACACATCTGCTCCCCTGGCCTTCCCGAGTCGCTATCTTCTGCAGACTTTTCCCTCCTTTCATATCCTTTCCCACTAGCTTCTCCATGCCCTCTTCCTGATCACAGAGTTCCCAACCCTACTGGCTCCCTGTACCCAAGGAAGACACTGGAAAACAGTGTCTGATATTCAAAAGACCAGGGTGCTCACAGCAGCCTGGGGACACTGATTCCAGCTGGAGGGGCTCCCCCCACGTGAGGTCTCTGCTCTGAGAGTGTGTGCGAGCCTGGAGGGACTCATCCCTGCGGAGCCGGAGTTGCCAGCAGGGGCTAAGACCTCCTCTCCCCCGGAAGGGTGGTCCTCATAAGTACATCTTCATGGCTTCGTGCGTCGTGGGGCAGTAGCGAGCATGGAGCTGAGCCAGCAGCGCCCGGGATGTGGCCCGGAAGCGGGTGCCCTGACTCTTCTTGTTCCACACGTGAACGGCATAGGTGGCGTTGAGCAAGCGGGGCAGCTCCTCGGGGCGGATGTCCTCAAAGTACTTCTTCCAGTTCTGCCAGGGGATGGGGTAGAAGGCCTCCCGGGGTAGGGTGGTGACGCCGCGGCAGGCCTGGCGCTCCCCTAGGCTGCGGATGGCGCACCACTTCTTGAAGACCCTCGTGAGGAGCTGCGGGCCCTGGTGGCCCCAGACCCAGCGGTTGTAATGCGCCACGAAGTCCCGCATGCAGAGTGCCATGAACTCGTGGCCCCGTTCAAAGGCCAGGAAAGCGCCGTTGAGGACATAGCGGGACTGGGTGCCCAGCGTGTTGGTCAGGTTCTGTAGACTCTTGAGGACGATAAAGTCCGTGTCCAGGTAGATGCCGCCGAACTTCCACAGCAGCGCGATTCGGCCGGCGTCGGAGAGCACAGGTAGAAGGTATGGCTCCCAGCGCGCACGCGCAGCCGAGTGCCAGGCAGCCAGGGGCGTGCCGCGGAACAGGGCCTCCAGGTCTAGCGGCAGCATCTGGACGTTGGGGAAGCAGCGCAGCAGCGAGAGCCCCAGGTTCTGGGGCTGGGAGGCACTGTCCCCCAGCAGCCCCTTCATTAGGACCACCACTCTGGATTTGGGGTGGGCCCTGGCCGCTGACTCCACCGAGCACATGAACAGGAAGTTGGGGTTGGTCCGGTCTGAGGTCTCCAGGAAGAAGATGTTGCCAGGAGGGGAGCTACTGGGGAGGGCCATGGGAGGCTCTGGGCAGGGGCAGGGCAGGTCGGCAGGCAGATTGTAGAGCTGTCCTTGGTTCTTAGGTTCACCCACGATGTGCCAGTAGATCATGAGGAAGACGAAGGTGAACTTGAAAACCATGATGAACAGTGTACAGACCCGCTGCCTGAGAGTGCCTCGGAGCAGCAGCAGCGCGCAGCTGGGGGCGCTGGGCATGGTCTCCCAGATCACACTAGCAACCTCCAGTGGAATTGGTTGGTCTGCAAGAGAAGGTACAACATGGGGCCGAGCCACCAGACGTGTCTTCCGCAGTCCATGGGGCTCTGGGGCCAGGCAAGCCTGAGCTTGAACCTGGGGACTCGGGGCAAATCTCTTCCCAGCGCCCCATCTCCTTTCTCACCTGTGTGGACTAAAGTATGTGAAGGTCCCTTCCCTTTTCAAGAGCTTGCCTATGAGCTACCCCAGGACTGGCACCCACAATGCATGGCGACCCTGGGCTCAGGCCACAGTCTGCCACAGGCTGTGACTTTACAAGTCATGCCTTTGCCTTGGAAATTGAGTTCTCTTTGGCATGATGGCTCATGCCCTGAGGCCCAGCTCTTGACCCCTCCCCTTCACTTGGCTTTACAAACCAGGCCTGGACCAGACAGCTAAGCAGCCTCAGGGTGGCCTGGCACTTGCAGAGAGGGTCAGGAAAGCAAGCTCACTCACAGAGCTCTGGTCCAAGCACACCGGAATGCCTGCTGGGTTCCAAAGCTCTTTGTCTTGCCAAGATGGCATCTTCTGGTCCCTGCACCCCCAGTCCTGCTTTGGGCTGAAGTAGAAAGGGGCAGGAAGTCTGGAACTAGTATAGTTGCCCTTGAACGTTAACTTTTCCACTGATGTCTGCTGAGCCAGCAGCCAGGAAAATTCCTGGTTGCCCACAGGTGGCAGGGGGAACAAGACAGTCTTGGTCCCTGTGCTAGAGAGCAGAACCAGCAGACACCTGGAGGCTTGGGACCCCAGCTCTGCCAGGACCTGCTTCCAGACCCTGGACAAGTAAGTCACTTACGTCTGTGAACCTAAGTGATTTCCCACTTGCAGAAAAGGGATATCCAGCAGCTGTATTCCTATTCATTCCTTCATTCAATTCGTATTGACTGCCAGGAAGTAGGTGCCAGGTGACCTCCTAAGCATTTGGTGGTGGGGGTGTGCCGCTGGGCTGGTTCTGACTCATAGTGACCCTGGATAGGGATTCTGAGGCAGTAATTCTTTATGGGAGCAGAAAGTCTCATCTTGTTCCTACAGAGCAACTGGTAGATTCGAACTGCTGACCTTGCAGTGAGCAGCCCAATGCGTAACCACTATGCTATCAGGGCTCCTTTTCTGTATTTGTTGTTGTTGTTGTTGGTGGTCTAACTCACAGTGACCCTGTATAGGGTTTCCTAGCAGCAGCTAGTGAGCCTGAACTGCCGACCTTGCAGTACAAACCGACCTTGTGGTCCAGTGCATTAGCCCACAGTGCAACACCAGGACTCCCTTTCCTGCATTTAGCACCTATTAAATCATTAAGTAAGGAGCTCTGGTAGCATGGTGGTTATGAATCGGGCTGCGAACCGCAAGGTCAGCAGTTCGAAACTACCAGCTGTTCTGCAGGAGCAAGATGAAGCTTTCTGCTCCCGTAAAAATTTACAGCCTCGGAAACCCTGTACAGGGTCGCTGTGAGTCAGAACCGACTCCACGGCACATAACAGCAACAAGTCATTAAATACCATTTAACACCAATGAAGTACCCCCACCTTATAACCACAGTTAAGGACTGAATTGTGTCCTCCAAAATATACGTTAGAAACGTAACCCCCCCAACCTGAGAGGTGACCTTGTTTGGAAACAGGGTCTTAGCAGATGTTGTTGGTATACACGAGGCCCTACTGGAGGAGGTGGGCCCTCTACAATATGACGATGCCCTAATATTAGACAAGAGACCCAGAGACCCAGAGGGCCTGGGGCTGCCCTGCTGGAAGCTAAGAGAAGAGCAAAGCTCGTTCCCTTAAGCCCTTGGAGAGAACATGTCCTTGTGGATGCTCTGAATTCGGACCCCTGGCCTTCAGATCTGTGAGGCAATTCATGTCAAGACCTCCAGTTTGTGGTGCCGCAACACTTACACAACCAAACTGCAGCGGGGATCACATCCCCATCTCATAGATGAGTAAACAGGCATATAGAAGCTCGGTAACCTGCCTACAGTCCTACAGCCGTAAATGGTGGGCCAGGTGGCCCCAGGGTCTGTGTTCTCAACCACTAGACCCCTTACCTGGGACAGAGGTGCCAACGGACCCACCATAACCTGTAGGAACTGATGCACCTGGACTTAGCATTGCAGCCACGCCACCTGCCCTCCACTCAGACCTCAGCATCCCCAGGGGAAGGTGCCATCCATTCTACAAAGGGGCAGAGAGGGTGGGAGTCAGTCTCCTCACAGGGAGCCTCACAGCTTGGGGAAGGAGCCTGGCGCTCTACCCAGGGTTCAGGTTTGGGCCCTGCCCTGTCTCTGGCAAATAACTGACCAGCCTAGATGGCCCATGGTGCAAGGCGGGATCCCGGAAGCCTCCTGGAGACGCGCCTGGCTCAGCAGCCAGCCTTGTCTGTCAACACGAACTCAGCTTTTCCACACATGCTCTGCATCGGTGAGGCCATCTGCAAAAGATGGAGGAGAGGATGAGAGGGGCCACTGGCACCTGGTACCCCCACCTCCCTGCCAAGACTGACCAGTCCACTCCTTTGTTCACTGACTTGTCCCAGGAGGGGACCTTTCAGGGTCAGGCCCTGCACTGGTACCCAGGACAGCACCTGGAAACAGACAAGGGCAAGGTGAAATGCAACAAGGGGGTCAGCGGAACTGACTGGGCAGGTGGCCGTTGAGCTGAGCTCTGGGGATGAAGAGGGCTCACTAGCCAGATGGAAGTGGTATGGTAGCTCTGGATTGTGTAAGCCGCAGCCTCTCCCCAGTACCCGGTACACAGTAAGCACTTAAGACAATGTCTGTGAATGAATGAATGGTCCCCACAAGGTGCATGGGGAGCAGAGTGAGACAGGAGTTGGGTGTGGGGGCCAAGGTGGTCTTCAAGGCTGGACTGTCTGGCTCTTTCAGTGGGCTTTGGTCAGGGAGTGAAGGAACCTGCTCTATGGGGAGTGAGGGATGCATATGGCAGCAGTGGAGGGTGGGAGACCAGTAGGTAGGATAGGAGATGGGAGGGAGAGATGGGGTGAACCTCAGGATTCAGGGGACCCAAGTTCCACAGAGGTACAACCATAGGCTCAAACATAGCAAAGACTGCGAGGCTGGTGCAACAGTGAGTGACCTGTTGTCCATTGGGCAGGAGGTTCATGCCCACAGTGGGCAATTCTGGGCATGCACGCCCTTCCAGAGACGTCCGTTTCCATGCCCTACTCAGAGAGTGCCTTCCCATCTTTGTACATCAGCTCAGCTCTGGGTGCCAGTGTCCAGCCCAGTCCAGCCACGAGGAGTGGATGTGGGCTGAGGCGCAGGAGGTCCTGAACCAGGCCCTTTGTAAACAAAGTCCCTTCCATTACCCTCTGACAACATGTCTTAGTACCAGTTCCTACTAGAGAAACAGCCACTTTATCCTGTCTGCTGCTTGGGCAAGAAAGGTGAGGGACCATCCTAGATTTGTCTTCATTGTCTCTATCCAGGGCACTGTCTGGTTATGCCTTTGGAACAGGAGAGGAGCCCCATGTTCCTCTTCCCTTCATGCCCCCATCCCAAACCTGAGCCCTCTCACTCCCCATCTCCAAACTCTTCATTGTCCTCCTGTTTCTACTTCACCCCCTGCAGGTTCTTGTCCACAGACCCTAATGACATGTGTGTCCCTACCTCCCTAAAATCAAGTCCTACCTCTCTGTTATCTGCTCTGCCCAGGCCACACCTGACCTTCCGCTCTTTCTCCCCAACTCTTCTGCAGCCTCAGGGCCTTTGTACCTGTGGTTCCTTTTGCTCCTTCCTGCAGATGCTCCTGCGGTATGCCCCCCCAAAACTCATCTTCCCACCAGAGCCTTCCCAACCCCACTAGTGAAAATTCCAACCTCCATCGTTTCATTGTTGTTGTTAGGTGCCATCGAGTTGGTACCGACTCATAGCGATCCTATGCACAACAGAATGAAACACTGCCCGGTCCTGGGCCAACCTTACAGTTGTTGCCACGCTTGAGCCCATTGATGCTGCCACTTTGCCAATCCATCTCGCTGGAGGTCTTCCTTTTTTTCTCTGACCCTCCACCTTACTAAACATGATGTCCTTCTCCAGAGATTGGTCCTTCCTGACAATATGTCCGAAGTGTGAGAAACGAAGTTTGGCCATCTTGACCTCCAAGGAGCACTCTGGCTGCACTTCTTCCAACACAAATCTGTTCTTTTGGTAGCCCATGGCACTTTCAATATTCTCCTCCAACACCATAACTCAAATGCATCAATTCTTCTACACTCTTCCTTATTCACTGTCCAGCTTTCACATACATATGTTGTTGTTATGTGCCGTGGAGTTCGTTCTGACTCATAGTGACCCTGTACAGGGTTTCCGAGGCTGTAAATCTTCACTGGAGCAGAAAGCCTCATCTGTCTCCCATGGAACAGCTGGTAGTTTTGAACTGCTGACCTTTTGGTTCACAGCCTGATTTGTAACCACTACGCTACCAGAGCTCCTTTCGCATACATATGAGGTTATTGAAAATACCACCACTTATCTGTCAGTGTGTCATACTGTGGTGGCTTGTGAGTTGCTGTAATTCTGGAAGGTATTTTAAATACGAGCAGGGTCACCCATGGTGGAAAGGTTTCAGATGAGCTTCCAGATGAAGACAGACTAGGAAGAAAGAGTGATGAACTACTTCAGAATATTTAGTCACTGCAAACCTTATGAATAGCAGAGAAACATGCATGTGAAGCTATTGAAAATACCATGGTTTGGTGCAGGCACACCTTAGTCCTCAAACTGATATCTTTGTACTTGGAACACTTTAAAGAGGTCTTAGGCAGCAAATTTGCCTAATGCAATATGTCATCATTTGATTTCTTTCTTTTTTTTTTTTCTCTAAGTTTTTACTGTGAATTATGTGTCAGTTTACATGGGAGAACATTATCTTTACATTCACCGTACCATATTTCGTTTCATTGCATGCATCATCATTGTTTGATTTCTTGACTGCTGCTTCCATGAGTGT